AGCGGGCCTCTGCGAGAGGCTGTGTGTGAGGGGCCGTTGTCTGGTGTCGTCCTGAACGCTGGAGCATGAAGGGAGCCCGTTCCCATGGAGTGCTGGCAGCTAGTACTGCCGGTGACCCTTTTCCGTGGATTTTTTTCCATAGTGGATTCCTGTCACCAAGCTTGGTCGCCTGGTCAAGGATATGAAGATCAAGTCTCTTGAGGAGATCTATCTCTTCTCACTTCCTATCAAGGTAAGTGTCTGTAAACATTTATCTAATGTGTAGCATAATTTTAGTCTCAAATGCAGAGTTAGCAGCAGTGGCTGTATTTGCTGTTTAGGATGCTCAGGTTAGGTGTGTTCATGTTAGACAGAAATCAGGAGAAGCTGAGGCCTAATGCAGTTGCTTGTAGTAAAGCATGGTGGGGTTTGCATGTTGTAGGCTGTCTTGTGTGGAGATGGCAGCATGTTGCTCAAGTGTTTCTGTAAAAGTTCTGCTCAGTGATAGAAAAAATAAGATTTCAACTTGCTGTGTTGGACTGCCTAACAAGCTAGAATAAGCTTATGTCTGTAAAATTTAATATTTGAAGTACCTATTATTAAAATACCTGCATGTAGGGTTGTTGAACCTCAATTGCAGGAGTCTTTACTAGTTGTATTTGGTTTGTTTAAAAAAATGTGGCCTTCTATGATGAAATGACTTGTAGGAGTCAGAGATCATCGATTTCTTCCTGGGGTCTTCTCTGAAAGACGAGGTTTTGAAGATCATGCCTGTCCAGAAACAGACTCGTGCTGGTCAGCGTACCAGGTTTAAGGTAGCCTTTTTTTCTTACCTTGAAAACTTCGCCTGTGTTGACTGCTACTTTTCTGGTATCATGTTAAAAAAAATAATTCAGGTGTTCTGAAACTTTTCTGTAGTATCTAATAAATGTTTTGGTGTGGAGATTGCTTGTGTAGCATACAAAGTTACTGTATCAACTTCAAAACCCCAGTAATATGTTCCAATGTTATTTAAAACAACCCTAGCATAAAATCAAGTCACACTTGGGCAGTGCTGTTGACTTTTCAGGGGCTGTGGTGGAGAGAAAAGTCTTCAGTGTGAAGAGGGAATGCTGTTGGGAAATTATTGGGACTTCAGACCAGTGTGAGGCTGTAGTAGGGATTTGAATGCCAGCTTTTCAACTGTAGCTGGTTTTGATTGAAGGACAAACTGAGGGGAAAAATGGGCTTCTTGAACTGTGAGCACGGACTGCGTTCTGTGCAGCACAGCTGCCACCCAAACCTTTTCTTTCAATCCTAGGCTTTTGTCGCTATCGGGGACTACAACGGCCATGTTGGTCTTGGTGTTAAATGCTCTAAAGAAGTTGCCACTGCTATTCGTGGGGCAATTATTTTGGCTAAACTATCCATCGTACCTGTACGACGAGGCTATTGGGGGAACAAGATTGGCAAGCCCCACACTGTGCCATGCAAGGTGAGAACAACTCACTGGGCCTGGTCTTGGTCATGATGCTGTTGCATGTTTTGGGAGCTCTGACCTGTTGTCTTTGCATAGGTCACTGGCCGCTGTGGATCTGTCCTGGTGCGTCTGATCCCGGCCCCCCGTGGTACAGGGATTGTGTCTGCCCCTGTCCCCAAGAAGCTGCTGATGATGGCTGGTATTGATGACTGTTACACCTCAGCCAGGGGCTGCACTGCCACGCTTGGCAACTTTGGTAAGCTTTAGGTTTTTTCATGTTGTGGCTTAGCTGGGTGTATTGTCATAATCTGTCATTGTTGTACCTATTTCTGTAGTATTTTTTAATCTCTGTTGAATCAAATACTTCTAGCAGGTAAGCAGAAGTGAGAACTTCTGCTGATACCTTTTACACTGCTGTGAATGATCGTGAAGTTCTGTAAAAGTTAATTATAAGAAATTGTCTTTCTATACGAGCATTGATAACACCAGAAATCTCCCAATCTGCGCGATTGCACTTGTTTGAAGTAGTGTAATTGTCGTAACTGGAGAGAGAAAGAAACTTGAGTTTTGTGTGTATATCGGAGAGGCCCCACTATGGTCTCCCTGTTCCTTCCTAAATTCTACATTTTTGGAGCTGGGTGGGTACTAGTGAGCAGGTTTCGGTAGCTGTGCTGTGCAACATTTGACTTCTGTCCATAGCTAAAGCCACCTTCGATGCCATCTCCAAGACATACAGTTATCTGACCCCTGACCTCTGGAAAGAGACTGTGTTCACCAAGTCCCCTTACCAGGTAAGAGTACAGCTGCAATTTGCAGCTCAGACCTTACCCTTCCTGCCCAGTAAATGAAGTTCAGGCGCTGTACCCAAAGAATTTGCAGTTTAAAAGTGGGAGAGTAGAGTTGCTGTCAGAGCTGACTGCCAGGAAGAGTGATTTTTCAGCATGCAGTTTTGAGTAATAATCGAAAGTGGCGTTTCGTGGACAAAAGAAATAAGAAAGCTTTGAAATATTAAGTAAAATAAGTTGTATCTGAACTACCCCAGCCTCCTCACATACACATCTTGTTGGAGAGGGCTGTGGTGCTGAGAAGCCTGTGATAGTCGCTGAAGAAAATAAAACAGATTTTATTTTTCTTTTGCAGGAGTTCACTGATCATCTGGCAAAGACCCACACCAGAGTCTCGGTGCAGAGAACCCAGGCGGCTGCTGTGGCAACGACTTAAGTGGGTTTTGTACAAGGCAATAAAGTGATCAGTGAACAAGAAATTGTGATTGGTTTGACAGGGTGGTTAATGCATTGCGCAGATGGATTCAGTCTCTGCTGGGGATTTGAGTTGGTTCATGTTTGTGGGCCAGTGCCTGAACATCTGTTGAATGAAATCGTATGTTACATTACACTAATCCTTGTTAATCAGGTATTCATCCTGAATGGGGTCTAGAACCAGCTCTGAAGATTATGTGCTGTCCTGCAGTGCATAATCTTTATCCTAAGGGAATTGGCTGCCGGGGCTGGGCAGAACAGCATGGTGTGTTCCTGTTGGCTCATAGAGGAGGGGGAGAGGTCCAGAGGGAAAAATCCCAATCAGTGCAGCCAGGGGTGCCTGGAGTTTTGAGGGGCTGACTGCGCTTCAGGAGATGGTAACAATCACTGGAATTCAATGATGAATGCAGAGCTGAAAAGGAAAGGGAAGAATTCTGCAAGTGTTTGCAGATCTCCAAAGAATGAGTCTGGATTCTGGTTGTATGGCAGATGCCTGGGCTGCACATTTATTGTAGAGGTCAACAGTATTGGAGTTCAAAGATGCAACATGCACTATTCAACATGAGCACCATGGCAGGAGGTGCTAACCATTTAGATCTACTGTGATGCATTTGCTTGTGCCTTCCTCTCCTCCATCATCCTGTGCTTCTGCTTCATCAGGCAGGTCCTTGCATTTCCATGGACACCAAGATCACCATCTAAAAAGCAAGTAAACATCTGAAGAGTGCCCCATAGCAGCTAAAAAGAAATAAACCTGTGTTCCGCATGAAGTCTGGGACTTAGCTTAAACTCCCCTTTCCCTGTGTGTGGTCATGGCTGCAGCAGAGGTGTGCTGGCTGCTGCTGTACTCACATCTGTCCTGGTAGGCCTTGGTGACCTGTGCCAGCTGTTCCATCTCCTTGGCGCAGTTCTGGAACTGGTTGGGTCCTTCCCTCTGCTTGCATGCGCCTAGCCTTTCCCGGACTATCTCCACGATTTCCTGATCAACCAACCTGTGGGAAAGATGACGATGAATGCAACCACAGCCAAGAGATGATAGAAAAGCTGAACAAAGGGGTGATGACACCCTGTGGAAGTTCAGCTCTGTGTGATCCTGGTCTGTCCTGCAGCAGTGCTGTAAGAACCAGGCAGTGCAGGACACATCCTAATGCCACGCTGGCTCAGCCCAGGTGTGCTGCAGGGGATGGCAGGACCATGATGTGGGGTGCTCTGTAATGGGCAGGAAGTGCTGCCTCGATACCCCAAATTCCATGAAAATGCTGTGAGTCGAAGCCAGCCGCTGTGGTTCCCAGGGCTAACCAGAGCAGCGGCCTTGCCTGGGGGCAGTGCAGTGACAGCTATACCTGTCCCTCCTCCACTGTGCTTCGGCCTCGAAGAAGCAGAGGTAGTCACCCTCCAGACACTCGCTCAGGTCAGGCACACGGCGAAACTTCTGGTGGTAATAGTAGAACTTGTTCTTGGCTTGCTGGCGCTCAATCCACTCTGCAGAACAGCCCCGTGGTCAGACACCCCCGGCCCACAACTGGTGAGCGGACCCCCTGTGTCTGTGTGTGTCCAGCTCGGTCTTCCCTGTGTGTCCATCTGTGTGTCTGCCCCTCTGTCCGTGCTGTGTCCTCGTCTGTGTCCCACATCCCCGTGTCCTTGCGTCCCCCGTGCCCTTGTGTGCCCCATCTCCCCGTGCCTGTCCCGGTGGCCGTGTCCTTGTGGTTTTGCCCTGTGCCCGTGCCTGTCTCGGTGCCCGAGTCCCCGACTCCCCATTCCGTGCCGGGGCCCGACTCCCGCAGCCGTC